TAAATCTTGGAAGCAACCCAAATACCCATTAACTGAGGAATCATTAAAAAAGTTCTGGTACATTTATATAATGGAGCATTACTCAGCTATAAAGAAAGATAAACTTGGACTTTTATAGGTAAATGGGTGCAACTAGAGACCATACTCATAAATGAAATAAATCACATTCACATGTGAAAACATTGTATTGTCTCCCTAGTGTGAGAAACTCAAAGAGTAAATAAAATACAAACGGTACCATAGATATCGTGAAAGGGAAAAAAACTGCCCAAAGGCAAAAAACAATATATATGTATAAATACACACAAGATAGCTAAGCTAATTGTATTACTAATTTCTATTAGTTTATTTAAAAGAACAGTTAGAGCTTATATTTTTTGATCAATTTTTCATGCCTATGTCTGGTAATCTGAGCAACTACTTTGAAGTAAAAATATGCAATGTAACAACCATTGTTAATTTCCTATCACCTTGTTTGGAAATTCTGTATCATTTTTTTCTCTTTAAAATAAAAAAATTCTATATACCAATAATGAATTTACCAAGAAAGAAATCAGAACAATTTCATTCACATAGCTTCAAAAATTAAAATACCTAAGCGTCAACCTAACTGAGGAGGTAGAAGAGCTCCACAGCGAAAATTACAAAATGCCGAAGAAACAAACTGAAGAAGACTTTAAAGATGGAAAGACCTCCCATGCTCGCGAATCGGGGGAGAACTAATACTGTCAACGCGGTCATAGTATCAAAAGCGATCTACAAATTCAATGCAATCTCCATGAAAAGTACAATAACTTTCTTCACAGACCTAGAAAAACAATCCTACAATTCATGTGGAAATAAAAATGACCCAGAATAGCCAAAGCAGTTATAAGCAATAAAGCAATCCTGGAGGCATCACAACACCCTATTTCAAATTATAATATAAAGCCACAACAAGTAAAACAAAACAAAAGAACAGCCAGCATGGTACTGGCACAAAAACAGACAAGTGGAACAACGGAATACTATAGAGAACACAGGAAAAAGCCCGTATAACTACAGCCACCTAATTTTTGACAAAAGAGCCCAAAACATGCTTTGGAGAAAACAGTCTTTTTAACAAACAGTGTTGAAAAACTAGATATCGCCTTGGAGAAGACTGAAACTAGGTCCCTCTCAGCCTATACTAAAATCAACTCCAAATGGATCTAAGGCCTGGGTATAAGACCTGAAGCTTGAAACTGCTAGAAGAGAACAAGAGAAACACTTGAAGCTATAGGCACAAGCAAAAACTTTCTTTTTTTTTTTCCTAGCACTGGGAATCAAACTCAGGACCTTGCACTTGCCAGGCAAGCACTGTAGCACTGAGCTATATCCCTGGCCTCCTGGCAAGGACTTCCTGAACGCAGTCCAACAGCACAAAATACAACAGCAAGAATCAACAAATGGGACTACATTAAATTAAGAAGTTTTTTGCACAGCAAAGAAAACAATGGAGAGAAAAACCTTTCCCGGCTACTCTTCCAACAGAGGATTAATATCTATTATATACAAAAATGCAAAAAAATTAACATCAAATTATTGTATAGTCCAATTAATAAGTGGACATATAAATTGAACAGACACTTCTCAAAAGAAGTAGTACAAATAGCCAAGAAGTATAAGAAAATGTGTTCACAGTCTTTAGCCACTAGGGAAATGCAAATCAAAATGCTGAGATTCCATCTAACTCCAGTCAGAGTGGCTATCATCAAGAATACAAAAACAACAAATGCTGTCAAGGATGTGGGGAAAGGGAACCCGTCTGTACGGATGAGGGAGATGTAAATTAGTGCTGCCAATATGGAATTCCATAGGGAGGTTACTCAAGAAACTAAAAATAGAATTACTATATGGTCCAGCTATACCTCACCTCAACAAACGTACGAAGGAATTAAGGTCAGCACACTCCAGGGACACCTGCCTACCCATATGTATTACAGTGCAATGCAGAACAGCCAAGATACGGTATCGTTGTGAATGCTCATCGACAGGTTAGTGGATAAAGAAAATGTAAGACACATAGAGATGTACTATTCAGCCATAAAAGAGAAAGAAATCATGTCACTGACAAGGAAATGAATGGAACCGGAGATCATGTTAACTAAAATAAGCCAGACTCAGACAGGAACTACAGGTTTTCCTTGATATGCGAAATAGAAAAGTGGCATGCATGCAGAAGGGAGACTATTATTTGACAAAAGGAAGGTAATAAGGATGGAGGGTAGAAGGAAGGATAACAGAGGAAATGGATGCAATCAAAATATATGCAAGTATGAAAATACCACACTGACACTCAGTTACTAGGCACTAATAAAGATGTCTTAAAAACTGTGTGGCCATCCGTAAATTACTACCTTAACCACTACGTAATGTTCAAAATCTCCTAGCTAAAACATAAAAATAACAATGTCACCTCATAAGGATGATGAGGTAAGTATGATAATGTATGAAAAGCACTTAAAAAAGAATTATATCGTAAAGCCTCAAAGTCATATTCATATTAATAAAATCATTATTATTAAAGACAATAGAAACCAGCAAGCAGGAATCACAGCATCTTAGTTCCTTAAATTCTGTCTCACTTTCTGTTCCCCCAACATCACGGGAAGGCAACTGCAGGTGGCAATTTGAGCTTTTCCAGCTCCTAAACACCTATACAAATCTGCTTCTTTGTCTTAACTAAAATCTGATTTCTTTTAAGAAACACTGCTTCTTTGCACAACCATCTTAAGTGAAGTCTGCTCATCCTCCCATACTCCACATGCAATAGGGTCAGGAAATAGATGGTCATTCTGCTAGCTTCCAGGGGCTGTCAGGCTATTTTAGTTCTACTTCCACATAAACTTCATCATTCTCCTTATTTTTCAGGCCTCTCATTCAACTATGACACTCCCCAAAACCAGTATCTATTACATTTCTATAATTTTTTAAAATTAGTATATGCATGGAATACATAATATATTCTCTGTGGGGTACTGAGATATATGTGTATATCTCACATCTTGATCTTTTTTACTGTTCCTTCCATTATCTATTATGTACATTCTGATCGCTCCTTCACGTTTGCTGAGTATTTTGGCATCTTAATCATAATCCTCCCTCCATCCTAAGTCCCATTACCATCCAACAACAATAAGGGAGATCCTAGAGTCTTAGAGCACTTTAACCTTTTAACTCCAAAGAGCTTTCACTTCCTTTCCAGTGCCATCTGTGCCAATGGCTATGCTTAATCCACATCATTCCTTAGAACTTCCTGATCTACCTCTAAGATCTACAAGATCAAACACTGCCCATAATTCCTTGGTGCATACACTGAAGGAAAGCACAGAACTCTATTCACACAGCCTATTCTCTCAACACCTCCAAATTCTGAAAAAAAAAAAAGCCTAGGCACAGTGACCAACTTTATCAGTAACAGAGTTCCCTGAAAAGCCCAGTTCGCAGATGCCAGCCAAACTTGCAAGCTTGTTCACACAAACATAGCAGCTTCGGCCATGCCACATTAGCTCTTTCTTACTCAGGTGTCCCTGTCTAACTCTTCCTCTAAATTATGGGCCTTATACTGCACTGTTCAGCAATGACAGCTCCCTAATCTTTGTGAGTATTTCCCAGATCAGGTCCCTAACCTGCATCTACTTTCCTTGGTTTAATAACTCAATGGTTCAGTTTCAAAAGTTTTCCTTTTCCTCCTTATAAAAAGTAACTACCCTAGGGGCTGAGGATTTAGCTCAGCGGCACAGCGCCTGCCTGGCAAGCACAAGGTCATGGGTTTGGTTCCCGGTACTGGGAAGCCCCCCCAACCCCCCCCCCCAAAGTACCTATCCTAAACACCAGTCTTTCTCTTTGATTTCAAAATAACAACCACTTAATAAGCACACACCATATTCCTAATGACTACATTATATGCTAGACAAGTTATTGTCTTTGATGCTGATAACTCTTATGAAAACTTGAAACTTGATGTTATTAGCTTCATTTTAAATATGAGGAAAGCAGAATGGCTTAGGGAGGTCATCCAGATGTTAACTGGGAGAACTGCAAACCCATACCTGCCTACTCCATAGCCCATGCCGTTTTCTCTTTCTGTGCAGCAAAATTACTCTAATTAGTAATGTAATATGTATGTTAATGGTAGTTATGTTACTTGACCCAAATAACATATTGAGATTTCAACAGAAAATTATTAAACGTTTTCTTAATCTAGAAGTGATAGATATGTCACATCCTAGGGCAGGCTGGGTACTGACAATCTGAAGTACTTCCTACTTCTTTGTGCTCAAAAATAATTATGCATTTGTCTCCCTAAATATTGATTTATGATGAGTTTTCCCCCTGGAAGTGTTTATTAAAGAAACAGTTATCCAAACACTCATGCAGATAAATTACCAGGGGTGTTACATTTTAAACATATGCATTTGCCAAACAAAATGTATGGTAAATCTGCCAAGTACCATCTGCACTGATTTTAGTCTTCTTTTTAACTTTTAAATAAAGGTAGAAGTCAATACTATAAAAATTGTTCTACCAAAATGCACATGAAAAATATTTTATTTAACAAAAAGTAAAGACAGATGATGAGGAATGTCTATCAAGGAGCTGCAGATATATGAGAAATCCTATAATAATAGAAACCAGTTCACTTTAAATAGAGTCCCATCTGAGTTCTGTATATTAAAAATTATATACAGAATATTCCTATATGAAAATTTGTTAAAGCAATAGCTAACTTTGTATAAAGCCCAGCAAACAAAAACAAAATTTAGAAGTATTTTAATAGACCCCTTTTCTATAAAAAGCCTTTTTTCCCTTACATTATAGAAGCTGTCAACTTCTAATCAAAATCAAGTTTTGCCTACCTGTCAATAGATCAATCCCAATAGGTTAACCAGAAATTAGCAGGATCAGAACAAAATGAAACTCAAAGAAATTCATTCAGTAAAAGTAAATTTAATAGTGACAAATAACCCAGTACTTACCTTCTAACCTGGAGGTATCACGCATATTCTTTACACATTTTGCAAATTCTTCAAATTGTACTTTGTCACCTTCTGTGAGAGAATTTTTTTTATTTTAAAGAAAATAAAAAGTAAGAAAAAAAACAATAAAAATGATACAGAATTTCAAAACAAGATGATAGGAAATTAACAATGGTTATTGCATTGCATATTGCTATCTTCAAAGTGGTTGTTCAGATTATCTATATAAGCATACAAAATTGATCAAACAATTAAGTATTAACTGTTCCTTTTAATAACCAATAGAAATTAGCAGTACAATTATCTTAGCTATCTTGTATGTGTGTGTCTCTCTATATATTTTTTTCCTTCCTTCTTTTCTTCTTTCCCCCATCCCAGTTGTTCTTTCCTTTTGAGCAGTTTCTTTCCTGAGAAAAATACTTTCAATAGGTCAGCTTCACTAAGCAAAAGCCAGATTCACTGAAGCAATTCATATACATTTAGACTATTTGATGTACTCATAAGAATATTTCCTCTTAATATTTGAGTAAACAAAAGGTTAATATTACAAAATGAATAAATGTTTATAATGTATAAGTTCTCAATTTCCATCAGTCAAAAGAAACTCTATAATCCATATTCCTAAAATATAAAACTAAAATAAAGTCCTAGACAAAACTAAGAAATGGACTTCAGACTTAGTTTAAATTTTCAACAATTTAACAATAAAATATCTATGCCAGATAAATTTGAAGATAACTGTTAGTGTCCAATGGTTTTACGACCATGTCTGACAAATAATTACTAATAATTTTTACACAAGAATGCAAAACTATGAGATTACAAAGTGACAAACACAGAGGACGGAAGCAGATGTGTTTTCCGAGTTCAGAACATGGGAGCACTGTTCAAGAGGTACAGTTATTGCAGTTTAATATCACAACTGAATCAGAAGTTGTCCCAAGCAGTGTTATTATAAAATCTGAATAGATCTTTTAATATTTCCTAATCATTCCCTCTGTGCTCACTCTGTTATATTGCTTTCCAGTAACATGCTACAGAAAATGAAGGTACTCAATGCATATTCAATTAATTTAGAGTTGCATATTAATATTTTTATAGAACAGCCAAACAATCTGAACTTTATACTTCCTAAATGGATATATTAGTATTTCAATAGTTAGAACACTAATAGCTCACTAAGCCTTGAAACTATAAAATTTCTAGGAGAAAACATAAAAGAAAGGCTCTACAGCATTTAGTCTAGGCAGAGATGTCTTAAATATGCCCCCAAAGCACAATCAACCAAAGCAAAAATAAGCAAAGGGAATTGCATCGAACTAAAAAGCTACTTCAGGGCAAAGACATAATAGAATGAGGAAACAACCCATGAACTGAGAGAAATATTTGTATATCATAAATCAGATAACACACTACTACCTAAAGTATACAAAGAATTCAAAGTCCTTAATAGCAAGAAAAAAACCACTTTTTTCAGAATAGGAAAATACTTTGAATAGACATTTCTCAGAAAAAGACATACAAATGGACAACAGAAAAAAATGTTCCATATCTTTAATTGTCTGATGAATGGAATTAAAACCACAATGAGCTATCACCGCATACTTATTAAACTGGCTATTAAAAAAAAACAAGACAAAGTCATAATTACACGTCTCTTAATTTTAGTATTTGGAATACCTACCACGAACTGTTGCTAATTTCAGTGCATCTAGGAACTCATCTTTTTTTAAATTATTATTCAAACTGGACAGAGTGTTCCACAGGTTAGAAACACTTATCTCTTCCTTGACGATATTGTGGAGGTTTTCAATAGTATCAGGCAATGCTAAAGGGTGAATAAAAACACAAGTTTTATAACATGCTTATCCAAGAAGTTAACAAAGGAAACTTTTGTTTAGAATAGTGAAAAATTGAGGACTTTGTGATTTAAAAGAATAAGAAATATAAATGAACAGCTAATTTTTAAGTATTAAAACAATAATATTTCAATATGACTTTGAGGATTCTGAAATATTCAAGGACTATCGTACCCTCATAATCATTATAAAGACTAATTTTCCATAAACTTCAGATTTACAAAAGTCTGAATTAACAAAAATTTCCAACTGAGAAAAAAATGACTCAAATAGTTTTTATTGTATAGCTTCACCAAAAATTCTCCATGCTTCCTTCTTCCTTTTCAGTCTATCACTACAGACAACGGTAAGAGGTTTTGTTTTTATCAGAATTTCAATATAAAACCTCTGTAGCATTTTAAATAGAATAAAGAAATCTTCTTACAAAATTATGAAAAGATCATTCAATTGCTTTATAGAAAACAGATTCTCTGGAAGACGACAGGAAGATAGTGCGATCGTCCAGAGAGAAAAGATAACACTGGCTTTGACAACAGTAACAGTGATGAAGAGAATGAGAGGTGGATAAATTAATGACGTATTTTAAGAATAATATTGAGAATATTTAATAACAAATTGAGCGGAAGGAAAGATGAGGAGGTTGGGCCATAAACTCCTAGGTTTGTGCTGTCCAGTCTGGCAGAGAGTGATGTCAAAGACTGCGGAAAGAATAAGGTTTCTGGGGAACACATTAAGTTTAATGTAAGCTAGAAGTCCAAAAGATATAGGTATCATTTAAAACAGTAAAATTATTTTGGAAGAGCCTTAAATAATGGAAACGAGAACAGAGGCTGGTATTGTGCTAATATTTAAAGTTAACTATAAAAAGCAGCAGCCAGTAAACAACAACACAAAGGAAGAGCTTATAAAGTGGGAGGGAAACTAGGATATAACAGTGTTACAGAAAACAAGAGTGATTTTAAAGATGAAACATGTACTAACAGTTGCTAGAGCTGGACTGTAATCCTGCTTCTACTTAGGAGACTAAAACAGGAGGATATCAAGTTTGAGGCCAGCCTGTGTAATGTAGGGAGCCCCTGGCTCAAACTGAAAATAGAAAGGGTTGAGGATACAGCACACTGATAGAGAATTTGTTCAGCATAAGGCCCTGAGTTTAACATCACTGCACTGAAAAAAAGAAAAAATTGTCCAAGAACTGATAATATAGTAGACTAACAACGGCCAGATTTGTTTCCACTTCCACCTCAAAACAAATTTTACACCAAGTTTTAAAATACCAATAAAAATATTTGGTGCAGGCCTAGAGTCTCAGCATTGAGGAGGATAAGGTAGAAGAACTGCTTGAGCTCAGGGATTCAACACCAGTTTGGGCAACATAGTGAGACCCCCTCCTAAGCAAACAAAAAATTTGGTAATGAATTAGATGAGGGGAGTAGGAGCAGTGAAGCTAGGGCCATACAGAAGAGAAGGAAGATTAGGAATGACTATAAGTTATGTGTAGTCAGGATGCTAAGTTCAAAACAAAGGAAAAACTACAAATGCCAAAAATGGGGGAAAAATTAACTGGGTATATGCTTAAGCTGATCCCACCATAACTATACGGTATACAATGTGCAAATTGAGGGCAAATTCTGCCTGAGTTCTAATCTCAATACTACCAAATACCTGTTGTGTAACAATAGGTAGGCTTTTTTTCCTCAAAAACTTCCATGCCTAGGTTTGCTCATCTACAAACACAACAAAAAACTGGTACGAGCATTCATGGCGGTCAGTGTTTAGAATATCACTGATGTATCATAAGCACCCAATAAATATAACAATAATAATAGGAAATATTTTTCTCTGGTGCAAACACATCTAGAGTTGTAATTGAGATGTCTACATAAAGCCAAAACCCTAGAAAGTCTTTCTATCTGAAAAAAAAAAAAAAGGATTAAAAACCCCTTGGCTGCCTTCTTTTTAGGAATTGAAGAGAAAAGCTTGAGCTCTCCCTCCAAAACAATATTTCCCATGATAATCTAAAGCCCAAGACCACCATCTGTGAATGTCACATTTCAAATAAATTCACATAATATATAAATTCCAAACTAGGGAACTAGCATAAAAGTGGCATAGTTGATCCTCAAGAGAAAAAAATCAGACCTCAATTTCACCTGATATATTAAAAAAATTTTCAGGAAAATTAAAGATTTGCATACAATTTTTTTTTAAACTTTAGGAGAACCTAAAAAAAACTTTAGGAGAAAATATCCTTTTTTTTCCCCTCTCGATATTGGGGATCAAACCCGGGGCCTTGCACTTAGTGGCCAAGCACTCTACTACTGGGTTACATCCCCAGCCATCATTACTATTATTGTTATTTTTTTATTTTGAACAGGATTCCCCCAAATTGCTGAGACTGGTCTCAAATTTATCTCAATTCTTGCATCAGCCTCCCAAGTAGCTGGGATTACAAATGTGGACCACTACAACCAGAAGGAAATATCTTACTATTCTCACAACTGAGATAGGCTTCTATCTTCAATATGAAGGCAAAGTTATCTGCCAAAAGATGCAAGAACTGGGGCAAAATTGGAAATTTGAGAATATAAGGATTTTAAGTACAAGAACAGGAGGATGATCTAACTATAGAATAAGTGAATAATTCTTGTATAGTGGTGAGGGCTAGAAAACATTGATGACCAAGATTTTACAGCAGCACTCTGAACAATCTGCTCACCTGTGTGATTTTGTTCAGAAATTCTGTCAGCCACAAGAAGAAAGGTAAATGGGTTCATTCAGGATTGGTGAATGGGTGCAAAAAAAGTGCACAGGTGCAATGAAAGTAGGGAAGCAAGAGAGTTGAAGGTATTAAGTAAACACATATTATAAAATTTAAACTGGGTAAGGAGGAAAAGTGGTAACAGGAGACTGATGAGCAAGGAAAAAGTGATAGGGTAAATGGACAGAAAGTCCCAATGAAGTATTCAAAACTGATAAAGAGGATATGCCCTGAGCAACCTGATGCAAAAAGAGAAAAGAAGTAAACATAATTACATAATATAAAGAATTAGACAGAAAACATAACTAAAGATATGAAAAAACATACTATACAACTCTATAGTAAATAAAACTTGAATTTTTCATGAAATTAGAATTTTCAGGAAAAATAGTGATGAACAATGTAAATAATCCCTTCATCTTTATATACTGTGTAATCTTAAACAGTAAGCAAATCTACTCACAAGGCCAAAATGTTAATTAAAATCCATTACCCAATATGCAAGCATTAAATAACACAGTGCTATTTATAATTTTTAAAGTACTAACTTCACTCCTTTAAAAATATACATAACTACCTTTTTCCCCCTTTTCTCCCAGTGCTGGGACTCAAACCTAGAGTTTTGTGTCTGCTCACATGTTATACCACAGAGATCCATCTCTAGACACTTAAGTTTTTATGATGAGCTCCACAGTGACATAGACTACCTTTTTCATAGTAGCACACTTACAGCTCAACATATATATATATATGGCTCATAAATGTTATTGAACAACTTGGAAGATGGAAAGAAATGCTGAGAAACAGAGCTGAAACTAGAAATTCTGTGCATCAGTACTCAAACACTGAATGGCATCAACGTTCCCACAATGAGAAGACATTTTTTGCCTCGTTATCTGTCAGACAGCTCTTTTAGTATCTCACAACTATATCTTTTAAAGTCCGTCAAACCATTCGATCTATAAAATGCACAAGACATGATGTTCTTACATAATTTTTCAGAGAAGCATTCCGTGTTGTTCATCATGGTACTAACGAATTCTTTAAAATTTACTTTTTGTGTTTCTAAAGGGAAAAGAAACAAATTGTCTTCTTTATCTTTAAATACTAAATTATTATAATAAATATTGAATTACATAAAGTAATATATGCAGGAATATACAATTATATACATCACATAACAAAATACTAGCCACTGAAAAATGTGTAGGTAAAAGGGAAGAAGCAATTTAATTTAGAGGCAAAAATTAAACACTCAAAAGCACCAGGAAAATTGACCCAAATCCTTTTACTACTTTACCAGTGTACAATATTTTAAATGTATAGGTATATAGTATCTCATAATGTGTCCTAATGTGTGTACATGAACACGTTTGAGAGGTCTTTATCCTGTCTTATGGTCATTTTCTCTACCCCTGTGCCCCTCTCACAGTATACACATCGACACACATGTTTGAGAGCTTTTTAGCTATTCTTAACTTCGCTTTTTCATAGAAATATTAGAATCAGTCTATTTTTAAAACCAGGCTTTTATTAGGTTGCTTTAGTTAATGAGATAACTCCGGAATTGACAATCTAGTCTATGACCATCCTTCAACATCCCCAGATATCCTCTGATCTAGGAGGCTCAGTAGGGTTGGGCATACTTAGCACCTGAGTTAAACAAAATGACCTTTTGAAATCTCGAATCTATGGAAGTGTGATATATTCCCATTTTCTATACTATCCTTAATATGTCAACAAAGTCTTATTTTTTTAATACATATTTTGTACAACTTGGGTTGGATTTTTTTATTTCTCTTTTACTTCTTATTATGGAAATATTTAAATATCTACAAAATAAAAAAAATATAACAGCAACAATTATAAACTTGCAGCCATTTTTATTTTATATCAACTTACAGCCCACTTATACATCTAGCCTACTTTCACCTTCCCTTTGGGAAAGTTGCTGTTCATCTGAACGGGCTGGTACCTCAATCTGGTAACCCTTCATTGTGGACTGTGGGCTTTGACTATTAATAATAAAGCAAGCTTTGTTGCCCAACTTAGTGCCTTGTGTCCTAACACCTACCTTGTCAGATAACAAGATCAGAAACTTATCACTTTTACTTTCGCTTAGAAAAAAATGTCTGAGATTATTAATAATAGTATTTCTAAATAATGGTATTTTGAGTGTTTGTTATATTTCCGAGTACTTTTATAATTTTTACTGGTATAATTTTAAAATACTTTACACTAATAAAAATGGAGTAATTATTCTGAGAAAAACAATCACAAACTGACCCTCCCTCCTAGTGTGTCATCCTCTTTGCCTGAAAATGTACCACTTACCATCAGCTTCAGTCAACCCTACGATCTTCTCAAGTTCTGGTTTAGAAAGGTAAATTCCAAAATTCTGAAGACAAGTATTTAGATCTTCAAAATCAACATTTTCATCTTTAATTTTATCAATGGCTTTAACAACATCTGTCAACACTAAAAAGAAAACAGTGTACTAATACATATTAAATATAATTCAAAGTGAAAATACCAGTAATAAATTTTACTTGTAATACTAAATTAGCAAAAATGTAAGTCCCTTCAGAAATGTTATATACTCAAAGCATAACTAGCGTCTTTAATACTATAAATTAATGTTTTAAAGTCAGAGTTAAACATTATACTCTATTTTGCTGTATTGTCTCTGTACTGAGAAATGAGAACTGAACTGCACTGACAATATCACAAATAAAAATATCTAGGCATAAAGTTATTACAAAAAGTTTCCTCTTAATTTGATAAGTTAAAGTTCCCTCATAATTTATCTCTCACTAGTAGAGTGGTAAATTGAGAGATAGTCTTGTGGCAATCTATAGTTTGGTTCTTGATAAATTCAGTTTAATTAATCTATAAGTATAAATATTACTTCTCAGAAATAATGATCCTGTGTATCTTTTTATAACAGTGTAGAACTTATACTTCACAAATTTGGGCAGTCTTCTATTGTGTTTACACTGATGAATTTATACCACAATGGAATCATTATAAAAAGAAATGTAGGTACTGTATAGAGAAGCAAGGGAGTTGATAGGCTAATTGGAATTCATGTTTTAAGAAAAACGTCAAAGTAGAGATGATGCTTTAAATTATTTGAATAAAAAATATGAGATGAAAAATAGAGTACATATATGCATACATGCATATGCTAGCACAGATTAAACTTGCAAAAGTCTTCTTGAATAAACAAGGTAGGTAAGGAAGGAAACTCGGTAATAGCATCAAAATAATTGTCAATAATTAATCTGCTTCATGAAGTCACTATGGATTTGTTATGGATTTCTGAGCAAATACATGGTGACCAAAGTGATGTCTGAGTCAGAGAATCCTTAAGGTATTTCCTTAAAATACGGTGTTTACATGTAAATATGTGGAGTAAGGTATGTCCTCATGAAAGAAATTCTCATCTAAAATTCTTTCATTTAAGTGAAATTCTCATTTAAAAGTTAAAAGTTCTTGTAATTTTAAAGGTAAAAATAGCAAGTCATTTTGAAGCAGGTTTAGAAGAATAGAAAATCATTTCCACCCATCCTTACAGAAACAAAAAAATTCTTTTTTTATTGAAAAAAGGTTGGTCAGAATTTCATAACAAAATAATGGAAGAATAACAATAGTTAATAAATTGCATATGGTCATCTTCAAAGTAGTTACTCAGAGTACAAGATATGGCATAAAAATTTCTCCAGTTGATATTAGCATGAACCTTTCTTTTCAAAAATGAACATTTTCACTAACAGCATAGCCAACTTGCATTTTTCTCT